CAAAGCGGCTCCGTCCTGGGTGCGCGGAGGAGGAGGCGGAGGAGGCGGCGGAGGCGGGGCTAACAGGGGGTGGGGGCTGGTGTCGGGGAGTCCCGGGTTCGAATCCCCACTCCTGCCCGGGAAGCTCGCTGGGCGACCTTGGGATTGTCACTCTCCGCCTGACCTGCCTCACAAGGTTGTTGTGGCGGTGAAATGGGAGAGGGTTACGTAAAGGGCTTTGGGTTCTCCTCGGGACAACAGGCCGGGTCCGCATGAAGGGAAGGAACCTAGAGGGAGAGACCGACAGACACACCCAGAATGGACCGGGCCCGTTGGACCGTCTCTCTCCGCTGCAAGGCTGCCCAAACCTGCCCCCATCCAAGACTTCAGGAAGTGCTGCTCTTTGGGGTCTTGTTTGCTTCGTTTTTGGAGCTTATGGCTTTTATCGCCGTTGCTGTTGTTTGGCGTTGACTGTACTGTTTGTAAGTTTTATGCCCTTGTTAGTTAAGGATTGCTTTGCCCTGGCACTGCCTTGGGCTGTTTCCTTGGGTGTCTCTGCAGTGGCTTCATACCGAGTCAGGATGTATTGATCTATCACTGTTTACTCTGGCTGGCACTTGGGCCTCCAGGATCTCAGCAAGAGGCTTTTTGCATCGTCCAGTACCAGATCTTTTTAACCTGGGATCTTCTGCCATGGAGAGCAGACACCTCTGCCAGGGAGCCACGCCTGCAGAATCTGCCTAGTTCAGGAGGACTTCTGGGGGAGATTGAGACCCTTGAGACTTCCTGGCATCGATGCCTTTTGTTGTGTTTTAATCTTTATATTATGGCTTTGGGAACACTTGGAATGTTTCTAGGTGTCCACCTAAGACAAAGGCTACGGTCACACAGACGAAATAATCCACTTTCAGCGCACTTTCTAACCCGATTTTACTGTGTGAACTGGCAAAATCCAGTTGGAAAGCGCATTGAAAGTGGACTATTTAGTCTGTGTGAGAGACCACAGCCATAGTTTGCTTTCTTTTGCAGAAGTGAAGCTGATGAGGCAGTAGGTTCAGGACAGGCAGACAGAAGAACCTCTTTGTTCAAAGCATGATTGAATGTGTAGAATTCAAAGCCACAGGCTGTAGCAATGGCTACTAGTCTAGCTGGCTTTTAACATGGGAATTACAGAAATGTATGGGAGGACAGCTCCATCAGTGCCTATTAGCCATGAAGGCTACATGCAGCCTCCGTGTTCAGAGGCAGTACCTGTGGGGGTGGGGGGGACACAATGGGGTAGGCTTTGGACTTGTCGCTGTGTGCTTGTGGGTTTTCAGGGAACACCCGCTTGGCCAGTGTGAAAGAAGATGCTGGACTGATCTGATTCAGCATGGCTTCTGTTAACATTTTAAATAGTAATGCACATACTTGGTGGGTATTGAATAAGCCCAATGAAATGTAAGAGGTAGCAGAAGATTCATGGCATTTCTGCCACTGCTTCTTAGATTCCATGGCCCCAGTGTGTGCATTCTAATAAGAACATAAGAATTTAAGAGAAGAAGAAGAGATTGGATTTATACTCCGCCCTTCACTACCCAAAGGTGTCTCAGAGCGGCTTACAAACTCCCTTCCCACAACAGACACCCTGTGAGGTAGGTGGGGCTGAGAGAGCTCTGACAGAAACTGCTCTTTTTCTAGAACAGCTGTGCCAGAGCTACGGCTTGCCCAAGGTCATCCAGCTGCTGCAAGTGGAGGAGAGGGGAATCAAACCCGGTTCTCCCATATTAGAGTCCGCGCACTTAACCACTACACCAAACTGGCTCTCAGTTCTTCACAAATTTGCGTGTCAGCCAATGAGAAGCCAATGTTGGATCAAGTCGGTGGGCCCTCCAGTCCAACACTCTCTCACACAGTGGCCAAAAATACTAGGTGCCATCAGGGGGTCCAGCAGTGGGGCCAGGACACCAGAAGCCCTCCCACTGTTGCCCTCCCACTGTTGCCCCCCCTCAAGCACCAAGAATACAGAGCATCCCTTGCCCCAGACCGAGAGTTCCTATCTATACCTTGTGGCTAATAGCCTCTGATGGATCTCTGGATGATCCATAATGACAGGGTGACCCTTCCTATGTCTGATGAAGTCAGCTTTAATGTATTAAAAAAAGTGTGTCACAAGAAGTGTTTAGCCTTTAAGGCTCTCCAAGGCTCTTTGTGGTGTGTGTTTGTGTGTGTGTGGTAACTTGTGACTTCTCTTGAAGAAGCTGGGCCCGGGAGCCAGAACTGTCAGCTGGGGAAGTCTTTCGCCAGAACTGTCAGCTGGGGAAGTCTTTCGGGGTGGGGGAGGCATCCCTTTGGAAGACATCTTTGCAGGGTGTCCAAGTGGTGTCTTTCAAAAAGAGCTGATGAAAGGCGTGTGAACTTCTGCATCCTAAATTCTGCTAAGTGGGGGGGGGGGGGATTTATGCTTGAGTATCATGCAGTTCAGTCATACAAAAACCTCATTACCTTTGTATCCGTATGAGGTTTTCTTTGGGCAAAAGGGATTTGTTAGCATCTTGAATTCTCAGCTCTGTTATGTTTGTAGAGGTTAGTAGCTTTTATGACTATAGCGGTGAGAGCTAAAAATTCAGGTGCTTTCTGAATATAAAGTACTGCCTGTCGGTAGACATCAGGGCCTTGTCCAGAACAGTCTCTCATTTTTATCAGGACTTTTCAGATGGACTAAAGGAAAAGGAAGAAGAGTGTGGTAGATGCCTGAAGCATGCCAGGGTTGTGCTGCCAGCAAGAGACTGTCAGACAAATGTCTTGAACTCAGGAGAGAGCTGCTTCTGTTGTCTTCTCAGCCAAGAAGAAAGGATCAACTTGGGCAGCCCATAGGGATAGATGGAAATTTCAGCATCAGGCTCCAGAGACAAATCCCTAAGGGGGATTTGCACAGGTTTGTTGAAAAGCAAATAAACACCAGTGAGTTCCTTAACCATCCGATAGTCTGCAAAATGGTTGGGCTGAAGATTTTCTTACTGACCCAATTTTCGGGGCCTTTTTCACCCGCACAGCGGTTTTTGTAAGTGTTCCAGTTTGTTTCAGACCTGACAGCTGGGGTCTGCGTTGAGGAACCCAAGTGACAAGTGTCCCCTTGCCTGTTCACAGCCAGCGCTTTAACTGGACAGTGGGCTGCCACGTCTCTGCTCAGGCCATGCTGCAGGCACAACTAGTTTCCTGCTTCCTACAGCGGTGAAAAAGCAGGACCTGTCCTGAGTGGCCACCCCTGTGCACTTGTGGGGCTTTCGAGATAGCATTTTAACTATGAACAGAGAGCAACAGTGCAGAGTTACCTTCGATAGTCACAACTCTTAAAATGGGCCACCTGCTTTGAACCTTGGAAGGCATGTGCTCAAGAAGCCAACTGGAGATTGTACCTTTTGCCCCAAGTATCATTATCTCACATCTGTTGGCACAAAACTCAAATTGATGTATGTATATATCATTGTGTTCTCTTCCATACCTGTAGGGAAGATTTTGTAAGGAATTTGCAGCAGCTTCATTCTGCATAGAGGTGTCTTTTGGCTGTTTCGGCCCTCGGCGAGGGAATGTGCTGCTTCTGTATGTTTGCAGACTTTTCCCGTGGCTGCCTGGGATGTTGTGGAATGGCTTCCTAGGGGAAACTAGGAGGTCTGTGTGTCTGTCTTGTAGTGCTGGAGTGGTCCTGAAACAGCACTGCAGAAGAGGCTCGGGTTCCTCAAGATGAGTGTATTTCGGGGGTGGGTTTTGGAAGGGCAGTGATCTCTGTGGGGCACTGTTATTAAGTTCTGCATTGGGTGCTTTAAAAAGATTGCTAACAACAGTAAAAACCAGCGCAACATATTCTGTTATGCTGCTCTTTATTCCTGTTCACAGTCTCGCGTCCCCAGTCATCTGGGGGAGAGGTGGCCTTGTGCACACATTAAGTAACATTTAAATAACTTCTCTTTAAAGCTTCTCTTGACGCCAGAAGAAGAAATAAGAAGCCCCCGCAAAACGGCTTGAGCGTACAGGGTAATGGGCTCGGAGAACAGCACTTTAAAGCGTGATGCACTGGAAGAGCCACCGTTCACGCTGCCATCCGGAGTCAACATTTACCCAGCAGCGCTTCAGCAGGGCAAACTCGCCTCTGTCTTTGTGTACAAGAGTGAGAACGAAGACAACGTTAACAAAGCTGCCAAGGTATTGGGTTTTAGTATTATTGAAATATTTTGCTCTCTGGGATTGTATATATGTATATGTATATATAGACACACACATACATATGTGCGCACACAGACACACTCACATCTCTCTATATCTATATATCTAATTCCCAACATGCCCCCTCCATGTGGATATCTAAATCCGCACATCGGGGGCACTTGGGAGGCAGGGAGATTTTCCTGCACATTTGGGACGATACCCAGATGTGCAGAAAAATCTGAAAACTTGGGGAGTTAAATCCCCCCAAAAGTAAAAGAGTGTTCCCTGTGCAGGCCCAGGGAACGCTCTGAGAACGGCTTTGTGGCCGCCACCTCCAGGGTGTGGGTGGGGGCGGGAGAAGGCTTGGCTGGCTGGCAGCTGTAAGCTGCTCAGCCCTCCTCGTTGTCGCCATCGCCTGGAGGAGAGGGAGGAAGTTTGGCAGGCTGAGTTCAGGCCTCGCCAGAAGGGGGGGTGAGAAAGTTTGGCGTGTGGGGCGAAATTAAGCCCTCGCGGCCGGTGCGGGGGGGGGGGAGGGAGAAGGCTTGGAGGGGCACTGATTGTTTGAATTTTCTGTTTATGGGTTGTTTGAGGCATGAGGCTAAAACCTGGTGTGGGTATGTTGGTGGGAACTTTAAGGCTGGCTTACAATTTACAATATTTTTTACAGTTTTCCTTTACCATCTTCTGCCAAAGTGACTAAGGGTAGATCAAGATGGGTAGCCATGTTAATCTGTATGTAGCAGTCGAAAAGAGTAAGAGTCCAGAAAAGAGTGAGCAGTGACTCACAAAAGCTCATACCCTGATTAAGGGTAGGTTACACAACCTGTTGAAACCCATAATAAAAGCATCATCAATAAATATCTTGAAAAACCACAACCTAGCATAGATTCCTGCTCCCAGAACAACAGTGATGGAAGCTCAGAAATTTGTAAGAATCCTTGTGCGAGTGTTTCTGTGCTTTCTAAAAAAGTCAGTAGACTGGGTGCTCTCCTGGCCTCAACTGGCAAGCTGTTCCTCCCCATTGGGGGGGGGGGCACCACTGGAAATGATCTGGAATGAGCAATGGCTCTTTTCACCTCCCTGCAAGACTTAGTGGAACTTCATCAGCCAAGTGGGGCTTCCACAGGAGGGCTAGAATTAATTTCATGCAAAGTGCTCAGATGAAAGAACGCTCAAGTTATGTAGCAATCAGCTTACGTCAACAAGGTTTGCTGAAAACCTGGCCCTTTCCCCCTGTTGGACGTGTCCGATAAGCAGAAAGATACCTCATAATGACTGTTGTTGTTTTTTCCCCCATCACACCTATTTCAAGCATCTGAAAACTCTGCGCCACCCTTGCCTCCTGCGCTTCCTCTCTTGCACTGTGGAAATCAATGGGATCCACTTGGTCACGGAGCGTGTGCAGCCCGTGGAGAAGGTCCTGGAGAACCTCTCTTCTTCCGAGATATGTGCCGGAATCTATGACATTTTGCAAGCTCTTGTCTTCCTCCACGATAGAGTGAGTACTTATCTGCCAAGTGCAAGAACAGAAGTAAATCTTTAGTAAGGTTTGTGCCAGTGGGGAATGGAGGAGGGCTGGTTGGTTAAGGGGGCTGCCCTTTGCATTACATTTCTTTGGTTCTGAGATGCTGGCCTAGTAAAACCGAGTTTCAGGTGTTGCCTTTTACTCTTTTCTCTACTCTGCTTGCCTCTGAATGTGAACCAGTCCCATAATAAGTGAAAATAGTGTAACTTGACCAGTTGACAGAGTCAGCTACTGGCCTGCTCTCAGATGGCCAAGAAGGGCTGTCAGACCTCATTCCACCACCTTCCAAGATGTGTTTACATCTTGCTCTTGCTGCTCACAAAGTGGCGATGTTTAGCTTGTGGCAGCTTTGTGTATGAGAACCACTTGTGCAGGCCTGTTTGTAACCTGTTCCGAAAGTAAGACACACTGTCTGTCAAAAGATCTATTCCCAGCATGTGGAGGAAGTATTTTTGGGAAACAAATTGTGTACAGATCTGACACGTTTGCGATTTTTATTCTGTAGTTAATAATTTGAGGATTTAAAGAACTCTGGACTTTAAGCTGGGGTGGCATGTTTAAATATTTCAGCGGGGGGAGGTTTGAATAAGTGAGGCAGGGTTATATTCATAGGTGGCCGTAAGGAGTGGTGGACTTGGAGAAGGTAGCCTTGTATGGCGGAATTAACAGCATGAAGTGTGAGATTTGTACAATCCTGAATGTGGGAAATAAGTTCTCAAATAAAAGGCGATCCAGTTTTAAGGGTTCTGCCGAGATGGATTGTCGCAGTGGCCTTGCTGGTCTTAAACGCTGAAGCGAAATGAGACGGTTGAAGGGAGAAGCATAGTAGAGATTGGCCATAAGAATATATGAACTTGTTACTTCCTGAGCAATTTCTTCCTCACGCGCCTGGGATTTTGGTTTTATGGTATATTTCCTAAGATCTTTAAAATGGTTCCAGCTCTGTGGTTTGTTAGATTGGGGGTGGGGGTCTCAAGCAGAAACAAGGGGGAGCAGAGTGCAGTCTGCTTTCTTTGCCAAGCTGTGATGCACTAGGAATAAACTGACTTATGCTAGTTAATCGTGGTGTGGCATAAAGCTCCTCGCAACAGTTCTCTGGAGGGATATAAAATTCCTCGGTGGCTTTGGCTGCCCTCTCCTAGGGTCTCACGACACCTAATTAGCAGTAACGAATCTTATTCTTGCATCTATTCCCAGCCTCATTGTGTGTGTGTGTGTGTTCTTTTCCCTTTTTTAAACTATGATTTAGGGAACCCTGACACACAACAATGTCTGCCTGTCGTCGGTGTTTGTGAGCGAGGATGGGCACTGGAAGCTAGGCGGCATGGAAACCGTCTGCAACCAGAATGAAGCTATGGCAGAGGTAAAAAGCCCCCTCGCCCGGAGGGGCCCAAGGGCGAGGGTTTGCTGGGTGGTCTTCTGGGTCCTGTCCAGCCCCAGCTGAAGAGTTTGGCGCGTCCATTCTGTTGGGAGAGTGTGTGGGCTCAGTGTCCAGCTGCATTGTGTCACCACCTAGATTCTGTGAATAATTAACATTTGACTAGATTGGGAGCCAGATCCTCCACAGTCAAGAAGGCAGCTGTTTTTGGGTAGGCAAGTAATAATGCTCATAGAAATATATTAAATATACTGAATATATGAATACATACAACACTTCAAGAAAATGTAATGTACGTCGTAAAGACTCACGAACCACAGAATGAACATTTTGAAAGGAACACTATCCTAAATGGTCCACAAGTGCAAGCCCTCCAAGGGGCAGTAACAGTCTATAGAAAAAATACTGTCCAGTATACCCTGTTGGTATCATATATGATATTTCGAAGAAAATTCTTATCAAAGGGTATAATAAGTCAAGGTAGGTACCTGTGGATGAAAATAGAAAAAAACCAAAGAAACTACAACTCCTTGCAAAGAAAATTTAAATCATGCAGACACATGAAAAATCAATAGACTATACTTACAATGACCATGCACAAATCAAAATTCTATTTCGTATTAAGCGGAGTCCAAAGCCCCTTAACAAGTTCACAACCCAGTGGTCTTTGGGGGGAAAAACTGGGGGGGAGAGTTTTACCTTTTCATTTGTAGATTTATACTTTCCCTTCCTGGTTAGTTTTGTGTTTTTTGGTAGGCGGCAGAAGGCAACCATTAGATAATGCAATGGAGAGTTAAGAACTTTTGGCACCACATTTTGTATCTTTTGTGCTGGCCTATGTCTTTTGTTGGCTTTATTACTCTGAAGAGAGTTGAAAGGACTGTCAGCGGACCTTAAATGCAAAACAAGCCGCATTGGGAGCTGTTCCTGGGAGACACGAATGGGCTTGGCTTTTGACTCCTGCCACCCAGCCAAGTTAAGGCTGCCGGAAGGATGCAGTTCCCAAAGTGTTGTGTGTGAAGTTAGCAGCGCACCACTTACAAGGAGGAATTGGAGAGATTGTGTTCAGCCCAAAAGGGTGAGCGTTCAAGTGCAAAAGTGTCTCTGAGTGTGACAGGGAGTATTTCACAAGGAGAGAGCAAATGGGATCACGTTTGTGAGCAGCCACTAGAGAGGACGTGGGCAGGAGAGAAAGGTGCAGGGAGAGAGAGTGCCAGGGGCACGTCTGGGGTTGGGAAAGGTACAGTGAGGAGAGTGACATCTTTCTGCTGATCCATATGGACCCCCAACCTGCATAGTGGCAAGCAAATGTCCCGTCACTGACATATCCTTCCTCCGACCCCTGTGGAGAGACACAAACGGGCTTGGCTTTTGACTCCAGCCACCCAGCTAGGTTAAGGCTGCCGGAAGGATGCAGTCCCCAAAGTGCTGTGTGTGAAGTTAGCAGCGCACCACTCACAAGGAGGAACTGGAGAGATTGTGTTCAGCCAAAAAGTGTCAGCGTTCAAGTGCAAAAGTGTCTGTGTGTGGCAGGGAGTATTTCACAAGGAGAGAGCAAATGGGATCACGTTTGTGAGCAGTGGCCGGAGAGGACGTGGGCGGAAGAGAAAGGTGCAGGGAGAGAATGCAGGGGCACGTCTGGGGTTGGGAAAGGTACAGTGAGGAGAGTGACATCTTTCTGCTGATCCATATGGACCCCCAACCTGCATAGTGGCAAGCAAATGTCCCGTCACTGACATATCCTTCCTCCGACCCCTGTGGGTTTAAATTCTCAGAATTAAGCAGTAAACTGTGCCGGAAATAAACTGGACCCTCTGTTATGCGTCCATCACGGATTCCAAAGAGAGGCACATCTCAGCAGCCTTCAGACTGTTTCCTGGTACAGTGTAAAGCAGCCACACGGAGTGACTTTTCTCCAGGTCAGCTCACATATAGCACTAAACCGTAGTTTGGCACAGTGGGCACAAGTCATGTGCCTGTGTTTTCCCTCCTCACTTTGCACGCTGCAACTCAGTTGTTTCTGCTTTCGCCCAAACTGTCATTAGCCATTACTTCTGGACTGGAAAATTATAATTTACTGTTCTCCACCAGGCCTGAATTAGAAAACCATAATACTGCGGTTTGTAGCTCTTGGTTGGAGAGAAGCACAAATCAAAGGCTACGTTCAGATGTCACAATAGATGAGTTTGTTGCACAAACCCTAGTTTGTCTACCATATGTACATAACAGGCCTCGGTTTGTTCATAAATCCCACTTAGCCTCCATTCCTGCCTCCAAGCAGAGTCTGCACAGGCTGTCCCAAGTTCACTTGCGGCTTGCGTTGCCAGGCTGCTGGCACTACGTACATAGTCCTCTTGTTGGTCGGCTGCAGAAAGTGGAAAGCAAGCTGTACAGGGGCGGGGAGAGAAGCCTTGGGCAAGCCAAACCTCCCTCCTCGCCCAAACTGTCATTAGCCATTACTTCTGGACTGGAAAATTATAATTTACTGTTCTTCACCAGGCCTGAATTAGAAAACCATAATACTGCAGTTTGTAGCTCTTGGTTGGAGAGAAGCACAAATCAAAGGCTACGTTCAGATGTCACAATAAACTGGAGTTTGTTGCACAAACCCTAGTTTGTCTACCATATGTACATAACAGGCCTCGGTTTGTTCATAAATCCCACTTAGCCTCCATTCCTGCCTCCAAGCAGAGTCTGCACAGGCTGTCCCAAGTTCACTTGCGTTGCCAGGCCGCTGGCAGGTCTCACTACGTACATAGTCCTCTTGTTGGTCAGCTGCAGAAAGTGGAAAGCAAGCTGTACAGGGGCGGGGAGAGAAGCCTTGGGCAAGCCAAACCTCCCTCCTTCCTTGCACTCGGCGGAGGATGGTCGGTCTCCACCCCACCCTCTGTATAGCTGCACTGAAACCGTTCTTTACTCTCAAGCAACATAGAGATCTTTTGCAGCCCTTCCCATCCCAGTTTTTCTCATCTGCTGCTAACCTTGTTTTCTCGCAGGACATAAAAGCATTCAGGTAGAAAAACTGTTGGCCAGATCAGTCACTCACTCATCCCTGAGATGTATGGTGGGAGGAAGGGCCATCCGGTCACAGGCAGCTGAGGGTGATCCCTGGCAGGCAGGAGGGCTTTCGAGGCAAGAGTCGCTCAGAGGTGGTTGGCCATCGCCTGCCTCTGCGTAGCAACCCTGGGCTTCCTTGGTGGTCTCCCATCTGAGGGCTAACCAGGGCTGGCCCTGCTTCGTTTCTGAGACCTGACAAGGCTGGGCCATGTGGGTCAGGGCCCCAGGGATATACAGGCGAGTCTCATGCTGGTGGGGAGGAAGGCGTGGTGGTCGGTAGGCTGTGAACTGCTTTGGGGCGTGACAGTAGTTTCTAACACAGGGGTGGCCAAACTGCAGCTCGGGACCTGCATGTGGCTCTTTCACATAGTCTAATTTAATATTAATAAAAAGCAAATTTGCATATTTTTCAATAAAACGTGTGTGTAATATTTGTTCATGTCTTGTGACTCTCAGACATCTGACGTTTCTTCTATGTGGCTGATACATTAAGCAAGTTTGTCCACCTCGTTAACATATGCTGGCAAACTGTGTAAAAGCTTGCGATTGAGAGAGAGCTTTTGTCATGCTACCTTTTAAAATGCTTCCTGGAGCTCACAGTCCTGTTTGCTGAATCATCGCTAGGGGAGGGCGTTTCCTGGAGAGGAAAGGGAAGGGGAGAGGGAGTGTCCTGAGAAAGCACCACGGATGACCTTCCTGCTCCAGCTGCCCCCAGCTTCACGTTCTGTGCTTTCCGCCCTTGTATGCTGGAGGCCGAGACAGGCGGTGCTGCTGAACGGAGTTTGATTTCTTCAGGTGTCATGACAATTAGTGCAAATCGCAGTTAACCAGTCAGATGCAAACTGTGGTTTAAGAATCCCAGTTGAGCACCCACTTGCAAAGCATAGCTGCGTACGGCCTTCAGACATTGCACCATGCTAGAGCTTCCTTAAGCCTTGTTTATAGGGACATCTGACAGCAGTCGTTGTTTGCACCTTTGAATGAAGTGGGAAATTATGGCTTGTACTAAATCATTAATCACTTATCAGCCCCAAGGAGGGAGGGGGCATGTGAGCACAGGGCCAGTTCCTGATCTGCCACGCCATGGGCTTGGATTTTTGTCAGTGAAACAGGATTTTCCCCCCCCTCCCTTTACTGCTAAAGCCCAAAATGCACCCTCATCATTCTCCTGAGGGACAAGTGCCTTCCCCCCCCCCCAAACAGCTTGAGGGAAGAAGCTGGACATCTGCAGTGGGAGGAAGGAATTGGCAAAAATAGCAAGGTTCTATATGTTGAGGCCGGAAAGGTCTTAAGACAGACAGAGAGAACCACAAGGGTAACTTGTTTTCTACCACTACTAACCTTCCTGTTGCAGAGTACAGCAAAATACTACCAGAAGAGTTCACTTCTAGCCTTGGCACTGTAGATTGCTAAGGAATAGTTAGTGCTGTACTTCAGAAAAGGTGTGGATGAGAGAAAGAAAGAGGAAAGGTTCCATTTTTGGTTCTTTGGACAAGTTTTCAGGTGTTGGGTGATGGGAACAGCAAAGGCGAACGTTTGAAGGCATCCCCTGCATTTCACATAGAGTTGTTGGTTGCTTAACACACCAGCCTTTCCTTTGGCCAAATATGTCTGTTCCCTTTTCTACCTGTAGTTTCTGCGTAGTATCGAGTCAGTACGAGAGAAGATGGGCATCCCACCTGAAGAAATGGTAAGTTTTATTGGTTGCTTATGCTGGAGAAGTCGACCAAGGTAGACTTGACATATTCAAAAAACATTTTCCATTTACATGTGCTTAACTTGGAAGTGGGATCGCAGGCCAGGAACGTTGTGGTTTTCTTTGGACATGCAGTTGAGAAGGTACGCTGGTAAAGTTGCCATGCTGTTGATGGCTTCAAGCTGCCAGTGAGAAACCCAGAAATAATTTACTGAGAGTTACACCCTCAATGTTGTTATACCTGGATTTACTGTGTATTAACATCTATAGTTTGAGTTCCCTGCTTTTTGATCCAAGTCCTCAAGGTGCTTTATGGTTACCACTCTTAAAACAAGATATTTGAATTGTATAAAAAACCAAAAGTGTCAAAATTCCAACGGCAGCAACGATAGACGGAGCAAACCTTTAGCATCTGCTGTTAAAAGCCTGGGCAAAGTGATCTGTTTGTACCTGGCGGCTTAAAGGCCAACGAGTGCAAGCGTCAGACAGAGGAGTAGAGGACAAATGAGTGTGTCAGACAGAGGAGTGCTGTAGGGACATTTCTAGCTCTGGTAGCCACAAATCTAATCTTGGAAGGGGGGGGGACGCAACGAGGGACCACAAATGAGGATCTTAATAGGGGTGTTTCTGCAGGAGCTGGTGGCCCCTCAGACCCCCCCAGTTCCCAGGCAGTTTAGGGCTTTATGGGTCACAGCCTGGACTTTGAATTGTGCCTGGAAACAAACAGGGAATGAACAAAGTTTTCCTAAACAGGGTAAAGATATTCATGCTCCTGCTTGGCCCAGTGAGCTGCTGCCCCCTTGCCTTCTAGACCGTTTGAATGTAGGTAGTCTTCATAAGCACCACGTCAAGTTTATTGCAGTAATCTGATCTGGATGTCGCCAGGGCACGGATAATTAAGGTGACAGAGCTGGTTTTCCCAGGAAGGGCCATGGCTGCTGCCCCAAGCACTACCAGTTACGCACACGTTGTGCAACCAGGGACATTTTGGCATGCAGCTGTAACACAGGACCCCCAAGCTCTGAACCTGGTTCTTTGAACAGGCTGAATCTTATTTCCTTGGTCACCAACATTCCTGGCCAACAGCACCTCAGTTTTGCCTACCAATCCCCACTCCGTCTTTTCCAGGCATATTTATGCTGTTTTAATAAGTAGAGGTATATGGTTTGCTTCTGATGTTCTTTTTTGGTAGGTTACTTTTCCCCAAGCACTGGCAATGACCTCGTGGCAAGGAAAAATCATCCAAACTTATCTCCAAAGCACTGATCTTGTTATTGGTGAATAGAACCTAAGAGCTCTACTTGCCAGAGCAAGGGTCTGTCTTCTTATAGCATCCTGTTCATAGCAGTCGCCCTCCGAGAAACCCACAAATGGGGTGTGCATGCAGCAGCTCTTCTGTGTGGTTTTTCGTCAGCAGCTGGTAACCAGAGGTATACCGCCTCGGAGCCTGGAGGGTCTACTTAGCCATTGATAGACCTTTCCTCGGTGAATCTGGTAACTCCCTTTTCAAGCCATCTAAGCAAATAGCAATTTCCACATCTTGCACTAGTGAATTCCATGAGTTATTTACATTTGATATAGTACTGATCTGTTCTGAACCTACTGTCAATCAATTTCACTGAGATCTTGCATTCTAGTATTATGAGGAATGAAGGAAAAAACCCTCCATCGTATTCATAATTTTATAAATCTCTAAAATATCTCCTTTTAGTAACCCTTCTTTCTGAACAAAAAGCCCCAAACGCTCTAGCCTTTCCTGATAGTGTAGGTGTTCCAAACCCATGATCATGGTGGTTTTTCTTTTCTGTAAGTCTTCCAGACCTGTGAAATTCTTCTTGATATTGGGGAGATAGGGGTAGGGGAGCGACTGGAACTGTAGACAGAATTCTTGAATGATCTTTGTGGGAGCTTTTACTCTGCTTTGTATTTTACCATACTGAAGGATTTGATGTTATCCACAAACCTGGCTCACTGACTTCAAGTTATACGTAAGGTATAAATAAATAAGCTATAAAAGAATTAGGGAGACCCCATTATTTTGTTTCTTAGATTGTGGAAACTCTCTGTGATCTCCTTCCTCTGCTTCCTGGTGTTTAACCACACTAGTCCATAAGCAGTCCTTGTCTTGTGACTGCTAAGTTTAACAACTTTTGATGAAGGACTTTGTCAAAAGCTTTGTAAGGGACAAAGTATATAATGCCTACTATCCTGTATCCTTTTGGACACTTTCAGGATTTAACATTGGTAAGAGAGGAGTGTCTATGAAAAAAGGCTTCTGCTATTTGTGGGTTGGACCCAGTTTGGTTTCTGCTAATGGAAGGCACTTCCATCTCGCCTCCCACTGATCTCCCTGAAATGCTGGGGGGGGGGGATTGGGGGAGGGGCGATGGGAAAGAGCACACACTGCTTCCTAGGGAGATTTTCTGTGCCAGAGTTTGGGCCCACAGGACAGACTCATTTTATAGTGAATTCAGCTTACAGACATCATAATGGGAGAACATTAGAAAATGGATGTATCTTAACTATATGGCCTGTAGGAGCAGTTGTGTAATAGAAATAAGTGGGACTGAGTACCAAGGAATGCATTTTTTAAGATCAGGGTGCTAGGCAACATGGGACATTAGTAGGCAACTGCATTGGGCTCGTTTGTGACTTTTTAGTCACCTTGTTCACTTTCAGTGTGCAATGCAAGAAGCATGTTTAAAGCATGTGCAGAGAATGGGGTAGGGGAGTTCCTGAAAACAGAACTAATAGTTTCTGTTCCTTTAGCGTGCAGGGTTCCAACGTCTTCCAGAGGGCCAGGGCCATGCCCGGGACGCCTATTCATTCGGGGCAATGGTCGAAAACTTGCTGACTTTTTTAAACGAAGAGGGTAAGATTCCTTGAAGAGAAGAAATGGCATCTTTTCCAAATAACTAACACCAAGTTTCTTTTGTTGCCAGATTTCTTTAGGAGTTATTTTTGTTAGGGGAAAATATTATACTTGAAGAATTGTAGCAGATTTATTCCAGAGCAGCGAGTTGTCCATTATTTTACTCCTGATATTTCCAGGATTGGAGATGATATTGAAAGTATATTCTTTCATGAATGAAACAAGGCATCTTGCGCGGTGTTTTTAATATAATTTAAAACTGATGTGTCAAATCCCGCCTCTGAACCCAGTATTGGCACTGATTCAGACACCGTGAGAAGAAGTTCTTCTTTGGGGACCCTGAGAATAACTGACCAGTAACTGAAACAGTAGTTAGCTGTCAGAGATGAGAATCTCGGGCAGCGCACCGGGGGGGGGCACCCCCCCCCCACTGATCTAACTTTTCCCTGCCTTGGGCAAGTTCTCTGGAAAGGTGACATAGACGTTTTCCAAATGAATGCGATTAGGTAAGGGCTTTATATCAGCAGCGTACCAACCTGCACTGAAGTCCTTTTAGAAGGATTATAATGAAATAAAAGTGTCAATGTACTGTTGGAATCCTTTGTGGAAGATAAGCCTGTCCCAAGCATGTCTGGGCATTTAGTCATGAAGCACCAGTGGCCCACCAGTCGCTGTGGCAACCCAATCATAAGGAATGGCTGGATCAGCAGCACTGGTCTAAAATCCCCTTCCCAGAAGCTGGGAGTAAGGCTTGGGGGGGGGGGCTGATCGTAGTTCTAGCGTGTGCGCCTCTCCTTTTCCCTTGGAAGGATCTTCCTTTGCACTTGGATTATCATTTGGCCTGGTCCACAGACTTTAGCCACTGTAGGAAAAAGAAACAACACATAGAAATGCTTTTCTTTTTTTCCTCACAAAGTTAGTTCTGATTGCTGCTCTATATGTTTCAGTTTCAGAGGATGTTCTCTTCAGCTTTCAGCAAACTGTGCGCTCTGTTCTGCTAAATCCAGATCCAATGTGCCGGCCACCACTATCCACTTTGTTGTCTCATGAATTCTTTAGGTGAGCAGATTGCTGGAAGATGCAGCGGCTGGCTGTGTGTATGAATGGAAGGAGGCTGATATTTGGGGGATGTGGAAAAACAGGTTACTCTTTATGTGAATTGACACAGCCTTTTTGATTAGGCAACATGAAAACTGGAGCACTTGTGTTTATGCTGTGAATGCAAGTGCTCTGTTTTCTACAGTGGTAGGAAATGAGACTTTGGGAAAATCTGAGGTTCATGTTCATAGTCACAAATGTTCTTCACACCTGTAGTAGTCAGAATTTCCACATCAAACAATGCACAAAGCGGTATTTTGCCTTGGCATCTGTATTTTAAGTAGCCTTCCCCTGTAGGTTCATCACAGGTCAGTTAGTTCTGTTTTAAAGATAAAATGCTCAGTGCATAAGCTATCTCAGTTTCCAAGTGACAGAAGTCTTATATTTCCAGAATTTAGGATGCTCAGCCTTGGGCTGTGGTGAACTTCCAAGTGTGTGACATTCCAAAGAGAGCCAAATGCTGCACATGGTTTGTGTGTGCTCTTTTGCTGTTCACGGTTGGTATACGGAGGCTGCTGTTCAGTATCTCTTGTCTCTGTAGTCAGCCAAGATCAGTGTGGACAGGAGCTCACATGTAGGGCCTTGTCAGTTCAAACCAGCAAAGCAAACTGTTCCTGGGTGGAATCCAGAGCAAATCCTAGTTTAGTATTCTTCTCTGTGTGGATTGACTGCACAGAGGACCACTTAAAGAACATCAAGTCACAGTTAATCACAGCTGCGCTGTTTTTCCAGTCGCTACCCACCCTAGT